CCGTAGCCTGTCGAGAGTGCCGTTGATCCGGTGTAGTGCCAAAAGCTCTGGAGCCTTTGATTACCCACCGAGCGGCTAACACTGGGCAGATAACCGCGTCACCGGACCTGTCGTGGTATCTGACCTCTTCACGACCAAATTGGTTATTATTCGCCCCCATCAGAGTAAGTCGCACTCTTTTGGCTCTACTCACCGTCACCTTCACATCTCGTGATTAGACATGGATCAGTAGCTGCAGCCTTGAACCCCATGTCGTTGAGATGGCTGTCGGTAATCTTGTCCCAGACACGAGATGCCTGCTTGAGTCCGTAGAGGCTCTGCAGAAAAAGAAACACGACGTTATCATCACCTTCAACCTCCGCCAAACTCAATAGTTCACGAAGAACTTCAGACAGTTCAGTGTAGATCTCCTCGTTTAGTTTACCATAGAGGAAAGCCGTATCGACATTACATGATCTCAAATTCATGAGCAGCGCACTGTGCCAGTTTGGCACGGAATCAACTCAAGTAAGCCATGGCGCGTACGTCTCTTCATTGTCGACCCAATGCTTTGTGAGAAACATTTCGCTACAAAACTGGTCTTGTGATGGATAACCTATCCATCTCATTGCGCTTCAACGCGAACACCCAGCGACAATCAATAGGACGGTGGTGTGCTGGCCTTGGTTCCAGCTTCCAAATCTTGTTGACAGTGAGAGTCAAGTTCACTTACAGCTGCCTTCTTCCACTCGTCACTTTCAGCACCAGTGGCTGCCTTGGAGTACGACTTGAAAACGCCTTCGGTGGCTGCATCGCGTGACCGCCTTCGTAGGTCGCAAGATACTGGTCGTTGGCTTTGGACGTTCTTGAGTCATCCATTGACGCATCGTCGTGATCTCGTACGATGCCACCACTTGCTTCTTCCTTGTATCTTCCTCTTCAGGATTTGTTATCTCATCAATGTGACGTGTTTTTGACGGAGTTATCATGGGTGGGTCGAATCATACGGCACGAATGAGTTATTTACGCTCACGTCATGTTGGAGTGGGATCACGTCTCCAGTTTCACCTTCAACAGGGACAATCTACGCGGATTCGCCAAGGCGTGAATCATTCGGCACCGGCGCCATAGTTCGTTCGACATTTTCGTTTTTATGGGATGTTTCCAGGTGCTCCTGTACGTGTCCTTTCGACGAACGTCTCTGTGTGTACGATTTGTACCTTTGCCAGCCTCAACGTTCTGAACACGGTATCCCTTGATGCCATCTTCGTAACTCATGAAGCGACACTGGAGCACTCCAATCAAGCTTGCGACGTTTCTCGTTAGGATGTGCAGATAGCCGAGCGCATCAAACACCTTCATGTTCTTGAGCTGTGGTTTTGCTCGGTGTACGATCTCGCACGGAGTCTTGACGGTAACCGAACTGTGGATCCGGTTTATGATCCACGCTTTGGGTAACACTGTTAACAGCATAGCCCATCACTTCTTCCCGATGCTCTCGTGGTAGAGCATACAGCGAGCCATCTTCATGGGGGCTCCGGTTCATCTGCTCAGCCAACCCGTTCTGCTGAGGCGTATATAGCACCAACTTCTCATGCTTGATGCCGCTGCGGTTGAAGTAGTCCTTGAACCATCTCTCCGAGTATGCACCGAATTGTTCGAGCGCAGGGGCTTGACCTTCTTGTCTGTTGCATTCTCCATTGCGGCCTTGTAGATTTTGAACTTCGACGGCACTTCGCCTCCATAAAGTATACGGTCGCGTGGAGTGAGTAATCGTGAATGATTGTCACCACGTATGTGCAACCGTCAGGCATCGTGGTCTGCATCGGACCCGTCATGGCCGTGTGCACGAAATCCAGTACGCCAGAACTCTTGACAAGGTTGTTCGGGTGTCGATGGAAATCATCTACCCTTATCGTCCCTATGCAGGAGCTTGCACAGAAGCCATCACTCTTGACTCGATCTGTGACGCGGGACGCTCCTTCTGCCATGCCCAATAGCTGTTGGTAGAGCATGAATGGCATGTGGCCAAGGCGTACAAGCATCACAGTCCATGGCTCCTTACGAGTTGCCGCAACATGACATTCCTCGTCCATCACTGTTTTCAAGTTGTATACGTTTCTACAGCGCTTGGCCTCCATGACCGTTCCATCGCCACAGCGAAAGACACGCTTGTCGTTGCTGAACTCCGTGACGATGTTCGTTTTGGCCAGCTTCGACACCGAGACGGGGCTTCCATCAACTTCAGGTGTACAGAACATCCGACATCGTGACCCAAATACCGTCCATCATCTTCAACCCGACAGTGCCCTTTGCACCTGCGTCAATCTTCGTCTCATCCGCAACCGTGATACAGATTGACGTCTTCGGGTCCCTCGTGGACACGAATACGTCCCGAACGCTGGTCATATGCGAACTTGCA